ATATTTTCACTGCGTGAAAGCACAAGCATGTGCGCTTGACATAGTTGATTGTCTTTCATTAAAAGAACACCGAGTTGCACTTAACACTGCGATGTTTGTCGGTCAAAATAAATAATCATTCTCATTTTGACGAGTAAATTTGACGTACTTTTGCATTTCGGTCACTGATGAGAACAAGGGTTCTTCCTAGTTCTGGTTTTTAAATGACAACTGATTACAAAAATGCGGCTGAAAAGTGAGCACATGTATACTCACATGTATATCTAAGTGATTGACTCGTTTCATCAAACTGAACAACGTGACAAAATCGAAACTGCAAACGTGCAAGTCGTCAGCATTCATATTTCTAAAACGTCAGGTTGAATGTGGAAAATTTTATCGCCGATTCATCACTTTTCAAAAAGAACTGAAGAAGAATGATGCATAAGACGAAATTTACAGACGCTTCGAACAAATTCGAATAAATAAGTGTAAAATAGCAATGAAGGCACCAGTCAAATTCAGCATATCACCACAAATGGTTATCAAATAATGAAAGTGTTTCGCTGCAATCCCATGATACGACGGTTCCCAGACGAAACTGGTCAAAAGAAATATCTGAACGGAAATTTCATCTGTTTCGGCAGATCAATCGTGCATAAATTAATAAAAAAAGGAATGGTTTATATCATTTCAAATTATCGACTAAATTTCATTACTTCTCTATAGACTTTATGCTATTGGGTGTATCACTGAGCATTTCGAGCAGTTTACAAACTCCTCTGCCCAAGGACAAAGCCATTCAATACAGTCGACATCAGATAGAAATTACGCCAGCTGAGTTGTCGGATTGAACAAAAACGATGAGAGGTTTCGTAACAGTCTTGATCTTCGTCATCATATCGTTGACTGATTACGTCTTATCAACGAAAGTTAGGCAGCAAAAATATGAAGTGAACGCATGGATTGAGTGAATAATTAATACAACAACAACAACAACAACGGTCAGGAACAAAAGAATGATACCTGAAAACGATTAGAGACGAGTCAATTTGCAACATAGTCAATCAGCAAAATGTATACAACAATCAAAGATGTTTCAAATTATTTCCATAATCGTATTTGAAGCACATTGTACTGAGTATTGAACAACTGATATTTGCTCAGCAATCTTACGTCCGATTTTTTCACGCTCCTCTTGCGTTGTTGCTTTGGTAAATGCATCAATCTGAAACAGAATCAATGGCAAACAAATAATAAAAATTTAAGAATGATCGCTCCTACAACTAGGTGAACAGTATATCCGTTAACGTATGCGATGTGTGCACTGCAAGTGAATCTACTAGGGATCTCATTCTCCTATCTACTTTTATCTTTTCACACAGAAATGGAAATGGTAATACATGTTTATTGAAAAGGCACTCGAAAAAGTCTACAGTTGGACGTATGCTACGAGGTAAATTGTATGCAAGGCCGAATCAGTGAAAGGATGAAATCAAGAAAAAAGAAACCTCACTGTAAACGGCTGCCATCACTTCACCTTTATACGAATCACCAACATTTATACTGTACAAAACATGACGCTGCATTGGTGCATTCGGGAAGTGATGCGGATTAATGAAGCACCGATCAACACTCATCATTCGATCATTGATCAGCGATATGCGTCTTGCATCAAATGGGTATGCCTCAAACGTCTTCAATGCATGCCTCCTTATCAATTCGAATTGCTGAGCACGACGAAGAAATTCCTGAAGGGGAACATATCGTTTGCATCATCACCTAAACATACTGCCGAATCGATCGATCGATTCAAACAACTAATCCGTAACAATCGGTTTCAATCGACACCCGAAGTACTTGTGTTACATTCAAAGCAATCATTTGATTTGAACCTAAAATACTTACAGGTGAATTTTGCTGAGCTCATTTTCACCTATAACTCATTAAGTTTTTAGCATCATCATTATTACCTCATGAGAAATACAAAACAACGAGGTTCGATTATGATGAAATGTGGTAATAATCGTTAACCTGACAGTTTTCAATAAATCTCCTCAACTGCTCTTTGGCGTCACTGATCGCTTCAGCATAGTACCTCAAAGGATCTAAGGCTCTCTTCAAATCGGGTGCATATATTCGAACAAGGCTGTTTGCGAGATCACTTATATTCAGAGGAATCACAGCTGAGTCCGTGAATTCCCTTGCCAGTTCAGCCCAGTACTGTCCAACCGCTCTATGAACCTACGATTATGCGTAATTCAGATCATCATCATAAAGAAGACCTATAATTGAATTCTATTCCGCCGTCTGTCGACTTTGACTGCGGTAGATGAATCTAGACTTTCTAACTGTGATGAATCTATATATATAAATACAGTGTTGGGCAATAGCGCGCTATTCCGCTAGTCCGCTAATAGCGAATAGCGGAATAGCGGAATAGCGATATCGGAAGTTCGAGTGAATAGCGGAATAGCGATAGCGGGAACGGCGCTATCGCTGTTCGATAGCGAGCAACTTCCGCTATATTCCGCTATCTTCCGCTATCAGTTTATTTACAGTACAGAATCTGTTACAACAACAAGCAATCATGACTTCTTCGGCGTTATATCAACGCCTGTCGACAAATCGCACGAAAAGTCCTTGAAAAAGAGAGCAAAAAGATCGTTGAAGAATGGTTAGATGGAGAACTCGAAAATAGTCTGGGGGATGCAACTTTTATGAATGACACGCGCTTCGTTAAACTGTTTATCAGGTCCACATATTGTTGGTCATACTTGTTTTAGCTACTTTATAATGTTTTCCATACTTGTTTTAACAATACTTGTTCATCACCTATTGTTTCTACTTCAGATATTAATACCTCTAGCATGACTTCAAGTAGTTAAAAATTTCAGATATAACACAGGCATGCCTTCTGGGGCACCAGTGGAGCGCATGTTTTCGCTAGGAAAGGATATCATGCGAGCGAAGCGGTCGAGAATTTGCGATGGATTATTCAATATGTTGATGTTTATCAAAGGAAACGAGAAATTATGAGCATTTTGGGCGCTGTTTTGATGATGTTTTCGCTGTTGAACTGTTGTGTTTCATGCTGTTGTGTTTCTGTTGTTGTTTTTTTATAACATGCTGTCGACCAAATTTAATGATATGACATTCGACTCACTGATTGTGAGGTAGTTTTCGAAAGTGGCACTTTAGGAAGGAGGGGATTTTTGGTGATGATACTTCAGGAAAAAGGGGATCTTTTTGTGACAATACCCTACGAAGAACATTTTTTGATGATAATACTGTTGCGGTTTTTTGTTATGTTCCTGTTGTTTCTTAATAATGTGCTGTTGACAAAATTTATTGGTAGAATATTCGATGTGCTAATATAGTTTATGTGTGTCTGTTATTGTTGTTTTTATATAACATGCTGTTGACCAAATTTATTGATATAATATTCGGTATGCTGATATAGTTTGTATGTTTCTGTTGTTGTCGTTTTTTCACAATATGTTGTTAACCAA